CCCCCCCCCCATATCCAGTTGGTCTCTTATGTCCTACTGGACTCGAATCTATCCAGTCTTGCTTAACTTCTTTGGGAGATCAGTTCAACGTCCGTCTTGTCTAGACTGGAAGAACCCCCAACTACCAGCAGATATGAGACAGCCTGCCAGAAACGGGCCCTGGGCTCTGAATGGGTGGAGGACGCAGCCTTCCACTTCACCCCCGAGAGTCGTCGTCCCCTGGCAACCTTCCCGCCCCAGGATCCTTCGTTTCTTCACCCTGTGCTCAATAAATCGCAAGTGGATCAATCGCTCTTGGGTAACCTCCTGTGCCAAAAAACAGGTATAATAACAGTTGATTGGCACAGTAATGAGATAATACAGAGAACAAGAAAAACTGTGAGAAAGTGACGCTTAATATATGTCTTTAAAGAATCAATATGGAGAACAAGAAAAGTGAACAGTAATCATCTTAGCCCATGGCAGGTTCTACTATACATTACAGCTGTTATAATTATTGAAAATCTTCTTTGATAATTGTGAGACGTCACCAGAGGATATAAACTATTGAGAGACAGTTTTTGTCCCACATCTTTGTTCAGAAGAAGATCTTCCTTCGAAACGGCAAGACATTCCGGAGATCACCGTCAATATATATTTTTCTATGAGTATGTATATTATTTTTGTTCACTTTTCTATGATTCTTTAAAGACATATATTAAGCGTCACTTTCTCACAGTTTTTCTTGTTCTCCGTATAACCTCCTGTGCCTCCAGATTCACACCTTCGGTGCCGTCAGGCTCCGCCTGCTCTTCACGCTGCTTCTGCTTGAATTTCATATTCCCGTAGTGCATGATGGCCCCGGTCAGCTTGTAGATGGAGTTCTTCTCCTCCTGGGTGAAGCCCAAGACGTCGAAGGCACTCTGCGTTTGGAGAAAAGAAAGGGAAATGCACAATACTTTCTCTGTGGCCCAAGCGGCTACAAAGTTTGGTTCAGGCCCGTGGCGGTGGTGGGGCTTTGGGGGGGCTCCTCCCCCTTTCTTGAAGGCCCAGCCCCACAAGCATTTCTCCTGTAAAGGCTTTTTCCAATCATTTTAAAACATTTTTAAAGGGGTGCGCTCCTTGAAGCAGAGTGGGGTGCTGTAGTTGATGGATTCCCAACCTGAGCAAGGAGGTTGGAGTAGGTGACCTCTAGGATCCCTTCGAACTCTGTGTCAAGGAACTGGTCTCCTTTAAGAGAGTGTTTCTGCCTAAGTGTGAGCCTTCTTGACTCTAGAAGTCATCACCCCACCTGCCGGCTAGTTATCAGAGTTGTTGCTTAGGCTGGCAAGAGTGATTAACTTGCAGCAACTGAGAACTGTCATCTAAACTGGTTGACAGCTTGCAATTGAGAGAGCTTTCCTGATAACAGCTTTCTATCAGCTAAATGGCTTTTCTTTCTGCACTGAAAATTTCAGCCCCACCAGGGAAAAAAATGTCCCACAAGCCACAAAATCCTGGCTACGGGCCTGCGTTTGGTTCTTCCTGAACTGTCCAACCATGCTGTTCAATCTAATCTCGTAATTTCACTAGGTGTAGTCTCAATGCCTAGGATTTCGTCCGGAGTACTCACATCAGTTGCTAACAGTTCCTCGGCGTCGTCAATAGATGGCACTGTGGTCTCTCCTTGGGAGATGAAGGCGTAGTCGTATGGGTTGTTGGTGACCAGCATTATGTCTAGAAAGAGGAAGTGGGATGGATTAGCCCCGCAGGAACTAAGCCCAATGCAAGAACATCCTCTCCAAATGACCCTCCAGTTCCAGACCACGACACAAGGCATGTTGACAAGGGTAGGGCAGACCACCAGACCCAACACGATCAAGACTGGAGGTTGCCCAGCCAGTCGTATTGGCTGTCAGATCGACCCTAACACCATTTGAAGGAAGGCACTGCGACCTGTAAGAGTTGGGGAAGGAAAACCCGAGTCAGCCCAACCCAAGGAGCAGACATCCAACAAAAACAACTTGAGGAGGAATACTAAGTCAACCCCACAGGATGAGGACGAGGTCAACTTTGAGGAACAAACTTTTCCAGGAATCCAGCTGCCCAAAACAGGATCTTCAAAAATGAAAAGAAGCTTAAGGAAGGTACCATTTACTTGCTTCGCCTTGTCCAAGCAGCCAATCCATTCATTACATCTGGGTTTTCCTTGAGGAACCATTTGAAGGGAGCAACTGTGGTCTGTTAGATGTCCCGGCGCTCAACCTCACAGGGCATATGGCAGTTCAGACAGTTCTGCTCAACCCGTCTTATCAAAACAGAAGGGCTATGGCTCATGGGTCAACTGGGATAAACTCCTCTTTCTTTGCCCAAAGGCCATTCATGACAAGATCTCTGACCAAGTCAATCAATCAATCAATCACTTTATTACAACAGTCAGTGACCAGCAGTACAGTTTGATTTAAAAATACAAAAGCCAGCAACCAGCAATAAAGTTGGATTTAAAAAAAAATTAATGGTAAAAAGATATAAAATTAAGACTTAAAGGTAAAGGTAAAGGTTCCCTTGCTCGAAAGCCAGTCGAGTCCGACTCTAGGGTTGCGGTGCTCATCTCCGTTTCAAAGCCGAAGAGCCAGCACTGTCCGAAGACGTTTCCGTGGTCACGTGGCTGGCATGACTAGACGCCGAGGCGCACGGAACGCTGTTACCTTCCCACCGAAGTGGTACCTATTTATCTACTTGCAATTTCTTGCTTTCGAACTGCTAGGTTGGCAGGAGCTGGAACTAGAGACGGGAGCTCACTCCGTCACGCAGCACACTCGGGTCTCGAACTGCTGAACTACCGACCTTCCACAGCCTGCAGTTCAGCGTCTTAACCACTTGAGCCACCGCAGCAAATTAAGACTTAAAAACACACAAAATCATACCAAATAACTACAAAGTCATGCTTTCATAAGGGATTTCCGATGCTTGTAAACCTGAGCACAGAATTTAGCCACCTGTCGAGTAGTCTGGTGGTTTCTTTCAGACAGGAGATAGTCAAGTTTGTTTTTATTTGATCTCCCAGGAAATCTTTCTAGCAGTGGGTGACCAGTCAAGAGTGAAGCTACTTGAGATGTCAAGGTGGTGGTGGGGGCTACTGCTCATTGACCAACTTGGATGGACTCCTCTTTTTCTCAAAGACCATCATGACAAGATCTCTGAGCAGTCAAAAGTGAAGCAACCTAGGATGTCAAGATATATAGCTATAGCTCGGCTACAGCTCAGTGGCCAATTAGGGTGGCTTTCCCTTTGCTCAAAGACCACCATGGCAAGATCCCCCACCAGAAAAGCTCACCTAGAAGTTCCGGCTTCTTGTTGGACAGGATCTGGTAGAAGATGTGGTAGTTCCTCTCAGATTTGAGCTGAAAGATGACCCGGGATTTTTCAAGAAGGTCTACGAAATGAAAGGGACGGGAGCAGCGCGTGTGAACAAGTGTGAATCCATCCCAAAGGATTTTTTTAAAAAGCACAGGAAAAGTCAAAGCGAAGTAAGCGGCGTCATGGGACACGTACAAGTTTCTATGTCCGCCGAAGCCAGCTTCCCCGTGGCCCCAAAATGGATCCGGATGAATTTACCCTGAGGGGGAAAGGAGAGGGGGTGTGTGATAAGAATGCATATAAGGGTCCAGAAAAGGACACAGATAATCAGATACTGCGATATCAACACTCCCTACAAAATAACACTCACAAATCGGGATGAGTTGTCATTCCGCAAGGTCTTGGCGTTGCCGAAGGCCTCCAGAGCAGGGTTGGCCTGGATGATTTGATCTTCCAGAGTCCCCTGAGGGCGGAACGAGAGGTTAGAACGGACCTTCCCTCCAGAGGAGGAGTGGGGAGGGTCAGAGGAGGTAAACCATGGGGGGGGGGAGTATCCCCCACAGCAGTTCTTTCTCTCCTGTCAGCAGGACTCTAAGCTCGGCCTGCCTAGAGGGAGCTTTCAAAGTCCCGAACAGCCACAGGCGGGCAGTTCTCATGTGGCGTGCAGTACCACACAACGCAACTCCCAACACTCCGGTTGGACAGAAAGTTCGAGGAGGCGCTTACCTTGCCTGTAGCGGCCTGCTCTTTTTTGCTCCGGTCGCCGATGGCGGCGATCACCGCAAAATACTGGATGACCCGCTTGGTGTTCACCGTCTTCCCGGCACCGGATTCTCCGCTGCAGAGAGAAGAGGCAGGCGGTGGTTCCGTGGAGGCAGCTTGATGGACTCAGTGAAATTCGGGTGGAGGTGTGTGCAGAACTTTGGAGTTTAGGGATGCCAGGTCCCCCAGGGGGGCGGGGCTTTGCCTGCTCTAGAGGTCCCTGGCCTGGATCAGGCCGGCGGGTGGAACCCCGCTAGGCTTGCCAGACCTCCCCGGTTTGGCGGGAGGTTGCCCGATTTGACTGGGCGGGGAGAAGCCCCACCCCCAAGAGCAACCACTTGGCCTCCTCCCCACCTCTTCCCAGCAGTGTTGGGAGACGCAGGGCTGCGTGCCTGCATTCCGAGCCCCAAATTCGGGGCTCGGCATGCAGGCGCGAGCGCATTCCCCCCTCTTCCCAGCAGGGTCTTTAAACTCTGCTTGGGACAGGCGGGGGCTGCGCACCTGCCCTCCAAGCCCCAAATTCGGGGCTCGGCGTGCAGGTCCGTGCGCATCTTCCTCCCCACCACTTCCCAGCAGGGTTTAAAAAGACCCTTTAAACATTGCTGGGGAGAGGCGGGGGCCTCCACTCCCCAACGCGATGACGTCACTTCTGAGTGACGTCATCACACTGGGGGCCCCCTCCAGTAACACCCCCAAAGTCCCCCGCTGGGGACTTTGAGGGGACCTGGCAACCCTAAACCCCGCCCCCAAAGTACCTGTATCGGGCCAACATGCCCACGGCAATGACATCACCCGGAGGTGACGTCACCGCGCCTGGCACGTCACCGGGGGACGCTCTAGCATTCAACCTGAAAACTCAACCTGAAAACTATTTGGCTTTTCAAGCGGAATGCTATAGTGTCCTCGGCGACGTGCCTGGTTGACGTCATCGCAGCGCGTGCCCGTACACAGTGCTTCTCCCCCCCTGCTGGACAACAGGAAGGGACCTGGCAACCATATTGGGGATAAATGCTGTTAGATGGAGCAATGAAATACTTAATTTGCCTATTGGGAGGGGTGTGTGTGGTGAGTGACTGGGGGGGAAAAGCTGGAGCAAAAAGAGGCCTAGCTGTTTTGTCTCTCCAAGGACTGGGTTGCGGAAAGGCCTCAGCTGAAGAAGCGTGTGTCTGGTGTGGGCCCTCCCTTGACCGACGGCTCTTCTTCTGGAGGAGGTGAGCCCCCAGACCTATCTGTCTTTGAACGGAAGCAGATTCCTTTTCTTAGATGCTGAGAAGAAAGGCCCCGAGGACTTCCCTTCTCACTGGAGGCCTGCTGCTTAGGGACTGTGGCTGGGCCAGCTCCAACAAGAGAACAGTACCTCCTCTGGGACACTGACTGCTGGACCTTTGGTTTGGGAAGGGACGGGCATTTGGGGGTGGGGGTGGGAGTACAACGCCCTGCGTGCAGAACTGGGTTCCCCTTGTCGTCATCAAGAGCTGCTTTGCTTAAGCCAAGGGGTGTGAGTGGGAGGGGGGCTTGAAGGAAGGAGGCCCCAAGCCTCGAACTTGCCCTTATTTCCCACGCCTGGGTTACAGGTGGAAGGGAGGGTTTCACCGTTTCCGCCTTGCAAATAACTCCACAAACATTCCTGGCCCGTGAGATTTTTTGTTTTTTTACCAGCTTGCCTGGTCACGCACTTCAGTGTTGGTCACTGGTGGTGGAACGTGCAGTCAAGTCACAACGGACGTCTGGTGGCCCAGTCGGGTTTTCAAGGCAAGAAACGAGCAGAGGTGGTTGGCCGCTGCCTGCCTCTGGGAGGCGACCCTGGACTTTCTTGCTGGTCTCCCATCCAAATACTAACCAGGGCCGACCCTGCTTAGCTTCTGAGCTCTGATGAGATCAGGCTGGCCTGGGCCATCCTGGTCAAGGCAAGAGATGAACAGAGGTGGTTGGCCGTTGCCTGCCTCTGCGTAGCAACCCGGGACTTCCTTGGTGGACACCCATCTAAATACCAACCGGGTGTCAGCTAGCTGCCATAGAGGTCTGTGTATAGTAGAAACACACACCCCCGATCCCTGATCCCTCCGTTGGCATCCGCGCATGCCTATGCTGTTGTGCACTGTATGTCTTCTTGTCTCATGCATTCCTTTCTATGAACGCTAGCGTAAGCTTATCTACAAGGCCACAGGTGCGGAGCAGAGGAGGCTCGCTTAGTCTATAATGATTTAGAGCGTGTGAAGTGCTAATTGTTTATCTTTATGGAAACCGTTGCTCCTCAGACTTTGGGCGCGAATCTGAGAGTCCAACCGCGTAAGCGGGAACCAAGTCCATTGGTTATTGTCAGTTTTGAATGTGCTTTATTATCCCATGTTCCGCCTGTCCCAGGTATTCTAAACAGTGAACTTGCTCCTGCTCTATCATGGCTTTAATAAAATACTACTTTGCTTAAACGTGTATCGGACTTATAGCTGTGGGGATTGGACACCGGGGCCAACACAGCTTAGGTTCTGAGATTCGATAAGATTGGGATAGCTTGGGTCAGCCGGGTCAGGACAGACAAACAGAGGCGGTTTGGCCATTGCCTGCCTCTGCACAGCAACCCTAGACTTCCTTGGTGGTCTCCCATCAAAATACTAATCAAAGTGACCCTGCTTAGTTTCCAAGATCTGATGATATCCGGCTAGCCTGGGCCATCCAGGTCAGGGTGCTGTTCGCTAGTGACCCAAAAGAGAGAAACGGCAACCCCCCCTCTGCCTAGCTTCCTTGCCTGGTTTCCTGGCGTTGGCCCTCACTCGCCATAGGCGACCAGGTGAGCGGCTGATTAGGGGCCTGCATTCTTGCCTCCCACCAGGAGGCAGAAGCAGAGAACAGAAAGAACAAAGGAGGGAAAGCTGGAGTGGTGACTCTGCATGTGGATAGGTCGCCACAGAAACAAGGTCTGGATCCCACAGATTGGTGGACCAATGGGCGAGAGACACGCCTGAGGTAAAACGGATGTTCTAAAGGCCTCATAGGGGTGGACAGACAAGGAGGATGGGACTTACGTGATCAGGATGGACTGGTTCTCCCGATCTGAAGAGAGAAGGAGAAAGGGGTCAGAGAGTTAAGAAAATGAGGGAGGGAGGGAGGGAGGGAGGGAG